CCCATACTCTTACCCATACATCGTTTATATTTTAATTTAGTTTTCATATGGACCATCGGTCTAATATTAAATTATTATTTGTTTACCTTTTACATTTTTGTTTCTATATGGTATTTTACCAGAAATCCTTATTGGACAATAAATTAATAATTGAATTGGCAATAAATTATATATTTATCTAAATTGCTTATGTAAATATCATACAGATACATACATTGCAACATTAAATTTATGTAATTCCAGGATATTATTAATATTTATATAGAATATTCAGAAACATAAAATTTCTGTATATAATCTTATTATTATATAGAATAAAAATCGATTTTTTTGTTATTGACCTAGCCAATATTTTAATTGTTATCATGTTAATTATAATTAAGATTAGACGAATATTTATGATATGGAAATTTTTATTTTCTTAAAAGAAACTGTACATAATTTATGGACATACAATTTAAAGTTTCTATATAAAATAAAAGTAAATTTTGTGAAGAAAATTATTTTAAATTAAGATAAAATAAATATTTTAAGGTTTAATGGGTTTTGAGTTATTGAAATTTTTATTTATTAGAAATTTATAATTTTAATTGTAAGTGTATATTAATCAAGTAAATATTTATGAACTAACAATAAATTTGCAACAATAAATTAACAAAAATTTTAACTATCTAGTATGAAAGCGTTATTATTGATGTTAAATGCAAAATTGAAAAAATCTGTGCTATAAATGCAGGGTTTATTCAAAATCTAAATATTGTATTTTGCAAAGTTTATTATATAATGTATAACAGTTAACTTATTAATATTAATAATTATAGCTGTAATTTTTCGATTTCAATGAATTTCATTATTTTATTAACTGAACACTTGAAAATAACTTCTAATTTACAGAAATAAAAAATTATTTTCTTTTAAGGTTCTATTCCGTTTAGCTTGAAATAAGACAATAATAAAAATTTATAAAAATATGAGCTTTATATGATTGTTGTTTTCAAAAATAATTCAAAAGACTATAATAAAATAAAATTTTTCGTATAAATCCCGTAATCCTATAATAAGCCGGCAAAGCATTGATGATCGGTTTTATTCAATAAATTTTACCTATACACAGAAATTGCTTCTCTTGAATTCTCTTGTGACCAATTATAATTTTGAGTGTGTATATCAGTTTGTTTAAAATATAATAGTGATTTATTTATGATGCGGTAACAATATTTTAAAATTAATATTAAAATTTTGATTGTTTGACTAAATTGTTGAATTATATTGAAAATGAAAAAAAAATTAATTTAGTTTCACTGAAATTTCTTTGAGTTTAGTTAACATTGTCTGTCACACCACTAAAATTACGGTACTAAATAATTAAAATTAAATATAATCCAACTTCTTATTCGCAGCTTTTGGATTCTGCCTTTATAGTGAAAATATTTGAAAAATATTTTGGAGAAATTGGGGTTAGCAGATTTTTTTCAAAGAAAAATTTGAAAAATTAAAACTCAATTTCAAGTAAAATCTTTCGATTGATAATAAAATAAAATTTTACTTTTAAATTACTAAAAAAATTCTAATAGAACACCATTCATAAATTTAATACCTTCTTGAATAGAAAATTTTTTATACTACTTAAATAACTCATATACCACAAATTTTAAATTGCAATATTAATTTTCTTAATTGTTGTTTTATTCGACACTATAAAGAACATGATTTCAAAAAAAAAATTTTGCAACACAGATAATTTCTGTTAACAAAGTGTTAAATATTATTTTCTAGCTATCACTATTGTAACTGCTTAATCATTATTAACCCACCAGGTAAATAACCGTATATTCAACATATAGGTACTCATTTTATTCGAAATAATGCTTGTGTATTATAATGTGTGTACAAAAGAAATGATTAAGCAGAAAAATTTTTTTTTGAATTTTCCTTTTTTATAATTTTGTATATTTGGACGTCAAAAAGGATATTATTATGTCCAATATTAACAAAAAAAAAAGGTATATTAAAATATTTTTGCTTTTTTGAATACATCAAGATTTTTTTTTGTTAAAAAAGGATGAACTGAATCTTTCAACCAAATGATAATGTAATGAAAATGTTGTATATATGTGAATATTTTCAATGTATAACAAAATGTAAAATCATAGTATTATGTGGGTAGGATACTGACATATTTATTAGTATATTGCTGAACTCTTTAAAATTTAAAGTGAAAAAATTATAATAAATTAGAACTTGTATAACTACTTGCTCACTTTCATAAAGGTTTTGTAGTAAAAATTACCATAAATTTTATATTTAAATGATGAGAATTGAAAATAATATTGCCTATATAACTGAGAATTGCTGCTGGAAAAAAAAATTTGTACAATTTCAAAGAATTTAATAATCTATTTTAAATTGAGAAAGTTGCAACATACAATTTATAGGTTTTTAATTGCAACTTTTGAAAATATTTTAAATTTTAAGAATTTTTTTTTATTTTTACCATATTTTATGCTTACGAAATATTTTTACAGCTTTTAATAAGTTCATGTTACAGAATAGGAGACTCTTAGATTTTGCAGAAAATCTGGTTAAATTTTTGTTGAATCTGGACTGGTTCTATAATAATGAAATTAATTCTGTATGGAAGCCAGTTCTGTTTTTAAAAAAAATTCAATAGAACCTAAATACCGGTAAATATAAATAATCCGGTTCACAACAAAATTCACTAAGTTTTTCTCACAAAAATCAACCTAAAAAATGATTATTAATTTTAATTTAATTCAAAGTAATAATTTTCAATTCACACCAATTTCTGAATATTTTTCTAAAATTTTTTAAATTTTAAATTCAATTAAGTGCGTAATTAACAAAAGTATACAATCTATTGTTGTTTATTAAAATAAAATTACACTCTTGATATTTATTAAAATTTAATTAATTGAAATTTTCCGAAATTAAATTTACCAAGAGTGCCTATATATTGAAGAGTAAAATGAGCTTCAATGAAAATAAGATTAAGATATTTAAATGATTTTATATCTAAGAGCAACAATTAACAAGCGTGATCAGTATATGATTGATTGATAATAATTGTTATACTCTTCGTACTCCAAGTTTCAAGGGTCTAAATGTAAAATTTTCAAATATAACTACTATAAAATTTCCATTTAAAAAGTACTATACTATAACTGTTATTTCAATTCCATTTTGTTTCCATTTTCTTTTCATTCTCATTAAGGGAGAGAAAAAAAAAACAATAAAATTATTGTTTTATTGCACTACTTGAAATATTTTCTTCTCTATATAAAAAATGATTTTCTTCGTAATGGAAAATTTTCGTTAAGATGTATACAAATATACATTTGTATAACAATCAATATTACATAATATGGTCACTGTATATGTGTCTGCATGTGTACATGTATGTACACATACCTTAACATATTATTTTTTTCAGTCGAATTAAAGAAGAAAAAAAATGAAAATGAAAGAAATAAAAGTAAAATTGTAACTGTTAAAGTTCAGTTAAGTTAACGACCAGAACAAATCTTCAACATAAATTCATTTTGCATTTAGAGCAGAAATTTGATCAAATATAGAAAAAGGATAATAATATGGTGAAATTAAAAAATAGATATGTATGTATGTATTATGAACAAAATAATAATATTATTATTTAAAAAATAAAATAATAAAAAAATAATATTGCTTTTAAATCGAAAAATATAATCAAGAAGAAGGCAAGAATTAAAAGAAACAAATGACGTACCTATAGGTGATTAGGAAAATAGGGTTCAGGTGGGGTGCAATATGAAACTTTGAACAGAGGGAAAAAGTTCTTGCTTTTTTATAATAAATAAATCGGGTATAATTTTGCAAAAAAACCAATAAGGATGTAGTTTTTTTTTAATGTGGTGAAGCTTATAATATAAAGTAAAAGTTAAAATCCTAACCAAAGATTTATTAAAAATACAAGTTTATCAACTTGAACTACATTTTTTTTAATATAGAAGGGCCATTTCATCAAGTAAATTCTTGGTTTCTGTATAAGAACGAATAAAGTATGAATTCGACTTTCACAAAAAAAAAAAATTGAAACAAATACAAAGAAAATTGGTATTTTTAGATAAATTTTTTGGATATATTCAGAATTGTTAAGCCAAAGATTCTTAATTTGGATCTAAAAAACAATACATTTCTTAATCTTTAATCGTTGAGGTTAAAAATATTTTCCCTCGACTTTTAATGGAGAGAATTTGTATTACTTAATTATGCAAAAATACCCAACCCAATGGGCTAAACAGAATAATTAGATTTCTAGAACTTTAAAATTTATAACAGTTAAATTATTTTATATGTATCTAGGTGTTAATTCGTTTATTATTTTATAGTGCAATACGCACTGACAATTAATTTTATTTCAACTAACCTGTGCATATTTTATAACCCACATATGTTTATATGTTCATTTATGTATAAGCACATTGTATTCAAACTATATATGTACACTTTTCATTACACAGTTTCAAACTATATTATTACATACTTTTAATCTTACTAACACCTGTGGTATTATTTACTATATTACGAGTATACAGCTAATAATATCACAGGTGCTATATAGAATTTCCATGTTAAACATCACATAAAATATAAAATATATTGGTATATCTGTGTGTAATAAAGTATATATATCATAACGATTAACACACAACGAATTAAAAGATTAACTTTTAATATAATCACGAAATTCAAAAGAAACTTTTATAAGTTTTATTACAAAAATGTCAAAAAATTTGGATTAAATGATATTAAAAATGAAAGAACAAACCCACAGAATAACAAATTTTTTTCGCAACATTTTACAAGATCACACATAAATTGTGTATATTTTCAAGATTTTTGGTTTAACAAGTAAGTACGCTTAGAAAATTTATGAAATGATAACAATTTTATATTTAGCGTAACTAAAATATTAGTAAAAGTTTTATAAAATGTTTACTTACCAAGGTGTATTGCACGTATGAGTTAATGTTAAATATCGAGCACCTAATTGATAAAACATTCTTAATACACTTAAACTTGTCCCTATAGCATGTCCACCTTCTACACCAATTAGGCTGGCAATTTTTCCTTCTTTGTGCGTTTCTTCTATTCCTATATATTATATAAATATCAAAAATTTGTTTGAATTATTAGGGGCACAGTTCTATGGTTGTGAAAACAAAAATGAATTTACCTGATGCACTTGTCACCAGTGACATATGTTTTGGATATTGACTCACTAAACGGCGAATTAAATCTATTTGTTCTAAAGTTAATTGAACTGCATCTAAATGCTGTGATGAACATGGCGCATAAGCTGACCAAAACTGTAATAAAATTAAATAAAATTATTTTATAATTTAATTTTCTTTTATATTTATCAAAATTTGTTAAATATTTTTTTATATTAAGGTATGATATAAGACTTATTTTCATTATGAACAAAATTTTATATATATTAGATTAAGAAGGATTAATTCAATAAACATAAGTTCCTTTTAGTCCAGTTCAACTCAAAAGCTTACATTAACATACTCACAATTGAAAAATTATTTTAAATCTGTCCCAAAAATTCAATAAGTTCTTGGTTCACAAAACAGTCATTTAAGTGAATCCATTGATGTTATCATTCATGAGGTTAACAAAAGTGAATTTCATATGAATATATTCAACCTTTTGTTTTGTTTTTAATTTGTCAAATTTAATAACATTGTTTTTCTTCCCACAACTCAAGTGTTTTAGCAATTATTTTTTCTTTAAATTATCTTACAATTTTCGTAAATTTATCAAGAATAGCACCTCATACACAATATCGTATCAAAGGGTTTAATATTTGCAAAATGTTAATAAATTTGTGAACAAACACCATAATATAATTCAAGTGAATATCACAGGGTGAGTCGCGACCCAGCAATTTTTGTATTGTGTATGCTTGTATAACAATACTTAATCCTTAGCTGCGTTCATTTCATTTAGAATTTGCATATATAGCTTGTATAGTCTAATTTAAATATATGTAATTGTTAAGTTGAAACTACGAGTTTGCTTTCACTCTTAAATTTAAAAATGAAAACAAATAACTAGAGATTTTAAAGCCAAGAAGCAATTATAAATTAAATTAAAAATTAAATAATTTTTTTAAGGTAAACTTTGAATGAAAAGCAAGCAAAAATAAAATAGCTGCTAAGGAGAAAATAATTTTTACAGTAGAACAGTCCCCATCAAGTCTCCCATAGTTTTTATTAAAGAGCAAAAGAGAAAACATTTTTTCTTACCTATAAAAAATAAAAATATTTACATATTAAGTGAAGGTGTATAAAATATGACATTTTATTTTCAGCAAAATCAAAAAAAAAAATTTAATTATTAAAGAGAAAAAAACAAGATTTGCGAACAAAAGAATTGCTTATTGTGTTTCGTCCATGCATTAAATGTGACATTCATACTTTGCACTCTTTTTTTTTGTGTACAGAGACAACAAAATATTTAATAGGTAGTAAACCGTTTAAACGAAAACAAAAATGAGTTCTTTTCAAAAAAAAAAAAAAAACTTATATAGTTGGAAAACATTTTACTCCATGAATATAAAATGCTGTCGTTATTCAACAAAAAATAAAATGAAAAAAAATTTAAAACGTACATAATTTGTTTGCGTTGACGAACACGCAGTAGGAAGCAACCATTCATTTTGTTGTGATTTTTCGCATTAATGAATATTTTTGTTGCCCTTCATTCAATTTTATTCTCTTTATTTAAAAATTTATCCTTTTTATATACGCACATATTTATTATCAAGTTTTGTGTATCCAACAGTCCAAAAGAAAGACCTTTTGCACAAAATTAAAGAAAAATAACCCCTCCAAAAATGTCAATGAATTCTCACAATATTTATTACACGAAGAAACGCGATCGGAACTGAAAAGATGTGGTAAAATTTTCATTATTGAATCAGAATAGAAATGATGGCATAGGTTTCCGTGCACATTCAAAATACAATTGTTAATATTAAAAATATAAGAAGCGGATATGGCTAAATATTTAAGAGAATGTCAAAAACTTCGGGTCACCACAACCGTCGGCCAATTTCGTACATTCTTTTCTTGTTTTTTTTTTTTTCAAAAGTGATAAAAAAAAGTGTTATAGGAGTGTTGAGGGCTAATGTTATTAGCAACATAGCTGTTTGAAACGTATTTTTGCATTACTTATTAAACAACTTAAATACTTCTCGGAATGAAGCGCTCAAAGAAGTTGAAATCGAGTGCGGTAAACCTTCCATTTTTGAAATTAAAATTAAATTGCCCCTTTTCTTTTAACATACTTTCATTTTCTCATTACGAGTACTTTAAATAAATGTCCACTTCTTTTGATTTTTAATAGTATATAAGAATGTATATGAATATAACGAATATATTAAGTATAATAATATCTTGATATTGCGGTCACTATTGTATCCTTTTCGAAGAATTCATTACAGTTATTCAAATATTTAAAAGTGTACAGAGTAAAAACATATAAAAAAAATCTTCATTTGATAATGCGGGAGGAAACGTTTCGTACAATTTAATTCTTTTTTTTCCATTTTCGTATAACATTATAAAATTAAATGAAAAGAAAAGAAAGAAAACAAAACATGGTTCCTCCTCAAATTAAAAAAAAAAAAAATTCACTTGTTTGGCAACATATTTTTCAGGAAAAATTGTGACAATTTTTTGTTCCCCATTTTTTATTATTATTTTAAAACGGAAAAACATTTCTTATTTCGCTTATTTCTTTTTATCATGCTTATGTAAATTAGCTTATATTGTAAGTGATATTTTTCACACTTTTCGTTTATAATCACCTGTAATATAGAAATTGTTTGTAATTCAATATAATAATGTGGAAAATGAAGAAAATTACTTGTTTTCTTCCATAATTTAATGGAGAAAATAATTTCATTCGTTTGATGTGGTGAATTTTTTCTCTTGTGCGAAATTTTGCAAGCTAATGTCATTATTCGTTTATGGTATTTATATTGCTTCCTTCAAGTTGTGAATAAATGTGTATGTGAATCTCATCACGGTTTTTTTTTTCTATATCTTGCAGGATACACAACAAATTTTCAATCTGAAGAGTATGAAGGTACATTCAATTAAATCATAAAAGAAGAGGAAGAATATTGGAATGATTTCTGCATTCTAGATTTAAAACTACGAACTTTTATTATGGAAACGTGTGTAAGATCTATAAAATATATATATAGACATTTTACAACATTTCTCGCACTACAATATCATTTAATCGTAATTGATCCGATTATTCACATGTATAATACCAAAATTTTCTTTTTTCTATATTTTCAGATTTTAACATTTTTATTACAATATACGACGGTATGCACGAAATTTATTTTCTTTATTCTCGGAAAATGTATTTGCAGTTTGCACAATCAAATGAAAAAAACACAACTATTTTCTCTTACTTTTCTTTTTTGTTTTTGTTTTGCTTTTGATTGTTGTATTCAATATAGAGTTTTTGTTGCCTCTCAATGTTATTATTTTGTATCCTTTTTTACGTTATAAATGGAAAATTTTAATGTGAATTATATGCAAATTAGACTATTCTATTATCTACATAAAATGTATACAATATATTTTATGTAAACGCGAGTAAATATACAAAGGGTTCAATGTAATTACATAAAAGAATAATCATTACTATATCGTATATTGTATAATCATTATCAATATTATTATTGCTGTTAGTTTACTCGTGTTAGAAATTAAGAGTTCATTTCATTGTATATTTGCATTACAAAAATATATTCGTATTTTAATTCTAAAAATATAGTATAGAATAAATTGTTAAGTATACTGTGGTAGTATTTTTTAGAAATTATCTCGTAACAAGCACTTTTGAAATTAGTTAATTAGGTTATATAGTTTACAATTGAGATAGTGAGAATTATTTAAACAAATCATAATTTTATGATTATAAAATGTTGGAATACTATTAAATTTTTTGATATTTTAACTTTTATCAGTTTGTTATTGTTGTTGTACAATATTAAATTGGTTTATAAAAATTGCTTATGTTTAAAAAATTTAAATGCATAGAGTTAAAGTTTGCTTTTTTGTTTATGGTCAATTTGGTACACAATATCGTAAAAATTGATTAAATATAATTAAGGGTTTATATATTCGGTATTAAATTATTTAATAAATAGGGGGTATAACAGTAATAGGAGGTATAAGAGAGAGATTGAAAACGTGTCAATTTTAGTGCAGCTAATATAAGAAATTTACGTTACGTTTAATTTTTGGTATTCTTGTTAGCTATAAAAATAATAAATTAACGATTAAAATGTTGTTAAAAGCATTAACAAGCTTAAAAAATTTAATTTGTTGTAGTTGTTGGTTAGATAGAGAAAGCGGCCGCCCAAATGTTGCCACCCAGCGCTGGGTCAGCAGAAGACCTATCGACATCCCTCCACAGAACGCCCATCTACCCAAATCCATTCAAATCTCTTGAAAAAGCTCAGCAGATCACCCACAGGCGCCCCCGAGAACTCTTCCAATCTGTTTAACCGATATTCTCTCAAAAAGTGTTCTCTCCCCCGCGTTAGCGCGGGGAATTCATATAGCACGTGATACACATCCCCCGCCACCCCGATGTCTTGACACCATCGACAAATATCCGATGAAATGCTCCGTTTCTTAGCTATATAGTTCCCAATAAACAGCTTCCCGTCAAAATACCTACTGCAATACTGAGATCCGCCCTGCTCAAAGCCAGCAGTTCTCTCGTTTTTGCATCGCTTCTTTCCGCCAACGGGGCCTTTGTCGCTGCACAAATCCGCCTGACATACCAAAGCAAGTTTCCTTTCCACATTTTTTTCCACATTTCCTTCTAGTTTCTACATTTATAGTGTTCTTCAAATCCCCTAAGGACAGATGGTGCGACCTGTCCATTTCCGCAGGACATAAAAATTAAAAAAATAAAAATTCTCCTGAATTCGACATGAACTAATAAATTCGCCGTTTATACAAAGAGGTACACCTGAACCGAAAAAAGAAATTTAATTGCCCCAAAATATTCACAATAATTTAAAGCATTGAACAAATATTTGTGAGCATCGCAGTACTTGAGCAAAATTTTCGTATCCCAGCAAAGCTAACCATGTTAAAAAGTTGCTTCGACATTTTAGTCTTCAAAATCAATTAAAATCAATACAAAAAATATTTCAGTCTGTTAATTTTTAAAAATTAATTAATAAAATTATTTAGAACTAAAAAAAATTTTCAAACTTATCAAAACCTTGAATAACTTTTCAAACTGCGTATTTAAA